TAAATTCTTGTACTAAGGGACCTGAATGGGATAATATCATGTATTTCTTTTGTATGAAATATGTGTTACATGCATTTTGTGGTTTGGGGTGTTACATCATACCCCTTACTTCATCCTCAGTTCATAAAGGAGGGGATATTAAAATGTTTCTTGCTTGTAAACCTCCTAAATTTTCTGGAGAACGTTATCCTGTCAAAGCCATGTGTTGGCTTAAAGAAATTGAACTAAGTCTGCAGATCAGTAAAAGTGCAGAAGAAGACAAAGTTATGTTTGTTGTATACCGATTGAGGTCAAGTGTTTTGTACTGGTGGGAAGTTCTGTGAAGTTCAGATCCAAACATTCTAAAAACCATGCTATGGGAAGAATTTGTGATCAAGTTTAAAATGCAATATTGTCTTGAAGCGGCAGTACGAAAGTTAGAAGATGATTTCCTTCGTTTAGAACATGGAAATATGTCAGTTCGTCAGTACACAGAAGTCTTCATGGAACAATCCCGGTTTGCGGAAGCTTACATTATATCATAAAGCAGTAAAGTGAGAAAGTATATATGGGGTTTAGAGTCTAATCTCCGGAAGTATGTGATATCCAGGAATCCGACAACATTTCAAGCAGCAGTTGACGCTGCTGAAATACTGGAACAAGACATCAATAGACAACCACAAGAAAGGGTTGGAGATAAAAGAAAGGGGGAAGCTACAATGACTGATTTCCGTAGACCAAGGTTTATGGAAAATTTGAATCGGCAAGTTTCAAAGTTTGCTGATAAGGCATGTACATGATGTCATAAGGTACATCAAGGATATTGCAATACCGGGTCACGAGTATGTTTCAAATGTCAGGAACCGGGACATATAGCTCGAGACTGTCGAATGGTGCGAAGATGTTTTACTTGCAATTCCTCTCAACATGTAAACACTGATTGTCCGCAAGCTAAGGGACGAGGGTTTGGTTTTGCTGGAGGTCGAGGGCCTGGATATTTTGGGGGCCGAGGATTTGGTTATGTTCCAACAGGTCGTGGGTCAGTGGATAATCGTGTTAACCCAAGTGGTCGAGGAGAGATAGGACATGGGGAGTCAAATGCTAAAGGAAGAGCCTTTCAGACGACGAGAGGCGAGGCAGAAGAACATCCTGAAGTAGTGACAGGTACATTTCTTGTTAATTCAGTATGTGCCAAAGTTTTATTTGACTCGGGTGCAAATCGTTCTTTTGTATCACTATCGTTTGTTAATTGCGCACATTAAGAATCTAAAGCGTTAAGTGAGGATTTAATTGTGGAAACAACAAACGATAGTGAAGTTTCGATCAAAGGAAATGATAGATGAATGTTTCATAAGTATAGAAGGGTGTGAGGTGCCTATACAATTATTTCATTTGCCCTTAAGGGAGTTTGATATAGTTATAGGCATGGATTAACCACGCCAGCATAGTTTGTGATGAAAAGATGATTTATATAGACTTACCTGAAAAAGGAAAGGTGTGGGTTGGTTAGATAATAACCAAGCTAACATAGTTTGTGATGAAAAGATGATTCATATAGACTTACCAGAAAAGGAAAGGTTGTAATTTATGGGGACCGACGAGATCGCTACTCCAGTTTTATGTCAGTTTTAAAGGCTCGAAAATATGTACGGAAAAGATGTACTAGTTTTCTTGCCTATGCCATTGACATCAAGAAAAAGAAAGAAAAGATGGAGGAGATCCCATTCGTAAGGGAATTTCCAGAAGTATTTCCAGAAGATTTGATAAGTTTACTACCGGATTGAACGATATAATTTCAAATTGAATTACTTCCTGGAGTAGCACCCATTTCACGTGCACCATATAGATTAGCTCCTTCTGAATTAAAGGAGTTAATGTCTCAATTGAAAGAATTGTTGGATAAAGGTTTTATTCGACCAAGTACATCTCCATCGGGTGCGCCGGTGCTATTTGTAAAGAAGAAAGATGGATCAATGAGAATATGCATTGATTACTGAGAGCTGAATAAATTGACAATAAAAAATAAGTATCATCTTCCAAGAATTGATAATTTGTTTGATCAATTGGTTGGGGCTACTTATTTTTTGAAAATTACGGTCCGGTTATCATCAATTGAAGATTCGGAATGAAAATGTGTCGAAAACAACATTCCATACACGTTATGGTCATTATGAATTTCTGGTTATGCCATTTGGACTTACAAATGCGCCTGCAGCTTTTATGGATATGATGAATAAGGTGTGTCGTCCCTATCTTGATAAATTTGTAATTGTCTTCATTGATGATATTTTAATATACTCTCGATTGGAAGAAGAGCATGCTCATCATTTGAGATTACTCCTGGAATTGCTGAAACAAGAAAGACTGTATGCTAAGATGTCGAAATGTGAATTTTAGCTACGAGAGGTTTAGTTTTTAGGACATGTTATCTCAAAAGAAGGCATTAAAGTGGATCCTCTTAAGATTGAAGCCATTAAAAGATGAGAAGCCCCAAAGACTCCAACTGAAATTAGAAGTTTTCTTGGATTGGCTGGGTATTATCACAAGTTTATACAATATTTCTCTCGTATAGCCACTCCATTAACAAAGTTGACAAAGACGAATGTGAAATATGAGTGGAATGAAGCACAAGCCCAGGCCTTTCAGATATTAAAGGATAAGTTATGCAGTACACCAATTCTATCCTTGCCAGATGGAATGGAAGATGTTGTGCTATATAGTGACGCATCAAAGATGGGTTTGGGTTGTGTACTGATGCAACGTGGAAAGGTAATAGCTTATGCTTCCAGAGAGTTAAAAAATCATGAAAGACAGTATCCTACTCATGATATGGAATTGGCGGCGGTAGTGTTCGCTTTAAAGATATGGAGACACTATCTATACGGAACAAAATGACAAATTTTCACAGATCATAAGAGCTTGCAACATTTGTTCCATCATAAAGAACTGAATATACGTCAGAGACGATGGTTGGAACTGGTTAGTGATTATGATTGTGAAATTTTGTATCATCCAGGAAAAGCAAAGGTAGTGGCTGATACGTTAAGCCGACAAGAGAAAAGTGGAACTATCAAAGCTATAGCTCTACGGGTTGAGTTACTACCAAATATTCAGGAAGAATTATGAGAGTTTCAATATGAGGCCATGAAGGAAGATAAGATTAAACAAGAAAGATTGGGTGGATTAATGTCTGAACTTGTGAGAGATGGCATAAAATTTTGGATATTTCAGAATAGAATTTGGGTACCATGCTATGGCGGTCTCATGAAACGTATCTTGAGTGAGGCTCACAAGTCAGACCAAGGGATGTCCGGATATATCTAAACCACTTAAGTATCAACCGAGGTAACCCTAAACCGCTCAAAACATCAAGTGTTGTCCGGATTAGATATTTGAACAATGTTCTCCGGATTACATCTCCGGTCGATTGACCAGATTTCATATTCGGTTGATTTTGGTATTATTCCACTATTGTTATGTAATGGCGGTGTAACCATGAGAGAGAGATATGTAATGGCGGTGTAACCGCATGAGAGAGATGTAATGGCGGTGTAACCGCGAGAGAGAGATGTAATGGCGGTGTAACCGCGAGAAAAAGATGTAATGTCGGTGTAACCGCGAGAGTGAGATGTAATGGCGGTGTAACAGCGAGAGAGAGATATAATGACGGTGTAACTGCGAGAGAGAGAGAGATTTAATGGCAGTGTAAACGCAAGAATGATGTAATGGCAGTGTAAATGAGAGAAGAAGAGAATCTATAACAAATATAGATAAAAATGTTTATGACCGTACAAGTTTGATTCTAAACTGTTAGTTTGGAATATAAGTTATTTGTATGTGATTGATACACTCACTAGACCTTTTGGGTCTAATGCTCAGTTGTTGGACTAACCTGTTTTGTAGGTCATCATACATCCCAAGATAAAGGCAAGGGGAAAGTTTGAACGATGATATTTAGATGCGCATAAATGTATTAAACAAAGTTTTTGTTAGCCCATGTTTTTAAACAATAATACATTATGCTTTATGAATATGATTATGTGGATTATTTGTACGTGGAAATTGTGGGTTGTTTCATTTGGTGCTGAAGATAATATTGATAATGTGCTAAACAGACCATCTGTGGCGTCCTCAATGTTCTTAGCTTGGATGCATTGTAATCAAATTTATCAAGAAGCACGAGAACTCACTTACGTTGAATTTCCTACAATGTTTGTGCGGAAATTGGACGAACGACATTGGGATCGAAGAAAAAAGGGGTTCTCAATTGGACGGATTCATTCAGTTTCTCCTACTGTAGGAGAAGGGTATTACTTACAAATTCTTCTTAATAAAGTCAAAGGTCCAAAATCATTTGAAGACATTCGTACAGTTAATGGAAAAACATTTCTGACTTTTAGAGATGCATGTTATGCTCTTGGGCTTTTAGACAATGACAAGAAATATATTGAAGCCATTGAAGAGGCAAATTTAACTGCATCTGGTTTTTATCTCCGTTTCTTATTTGCAACCATGCTGATTTCAAACAGTTTATGTAGACCTGAATTTGTTTGGGAAAAAAACATGGCAATACTTAGCAGATGGGATTCTGTACAATCAACGGAATTGCTTTACAGTCGCCAGGTATGTTAATTATATATCTTAAGCATAGAGTTATACAACTATTATCAAAAACTATGGTTGTTATTAAACTGTATCTACTTTTAATTTCATGTAGTAATTGTGTACATTTATATTATCTTTAACATATTTATCTCTTAATGAAGAACATGTGAAGAATATAACTTTGTTTGAAATTGAAAATATTTTTCTTCGTAACAATTACACGTTGAAAGACTTCACTACACTGCCTTATCCAGATAATGACTCGCTTGAATCCTCAAACAACCGTTTGATTGCAGAAGAACTGGATTATAATCATCATAATTTACGAGATGAGTTTCACACACTTGTAACTGCTCTAACAAATGAGCAAAGAGGTGTGTATAATGAAATCATGACTGCGGTTGAAAAGAAAAAAGGTGGTGTATTTTTTGTTTATGGGCATGGCGGAACAGGTAAAACATTCCTATGGAAGACCTTGGTTGCATCAATAAGATCTAAAGGAGAAATTGTTTTAAATGTTGCTTCCAGTGGTATTGCATCTTTACTTCTTACCGGTGGCAGAACAGCACACTCTCGGTTTCACATCCCGCTCATTCTCAATGAAGATTCTCTTTGCCAAATGAAGCCAGACAGTGATGTTGCAAGCTTAATAAATAAAACTACTTTGATAATATGGGATGAGGCACCAATGGTTCATAAACATGCATTTGAAGCATTAGATAGAAGTATGAATGATATTTTCAATGCTCAACGCAGTGGTGACTCAATTATGATTTTTGGGGGTAAGGTAATTATTTTTGGAGGAGATTTCAGACAGATTCTGCCAGTTATTCCCAATGCAGGTAGACAAGACATTGTAAATGCATCATTAAGTTCATCTTACATTCGGGAAAAATGCAAAGTCCTAAGGTTAACTAGAAACATGAGGCTAACTGCAAACAGTGAAAGTTCAGAAATTGAACAAACAAGGGATTTTGCAAAATGGATTTTGGACTTAAGAGAAGGAAAAGTTGGAGGTAATAATGATGGTGAAACAGTTATTGAGATACCTCATGATCTTCTCATTACCGATTGCATCGATTCTATATCTGCATTAATCGAATTTGTCTATCCCTCAATATTTTGAAAACATCAACAACTCAACTTATTTTCAAGAACGAGCAATACTTGCCCCAAAAAATGAAGTAGTTCAAGAAATAAATGATTGTTTGTTGTCATTGTTTCCAGGAGAAGAAAAGGAGTACTTAAGTTCAAATACGTTATGTAAATCAAAGCACCTTCATGATGAGTTTGATAAAACTTTGTATTCTCCTAATGTTTTAAATGGTCTTAAATTATTAGGAATACCAAACCATAAGATTCTACTAAAAGTTGGTGTTCCAATCATGTTACTGAGGAATATTAATCAGAAATCTGGATTATGTAATTGTTGGTCCCGAAAGGGTCTACAAGATAAGACACAGTTTGTATAAGGGGGGGATGAATACAAACACAGAGTTTTCAAATTTAAAATATATATTGATAGAGAAGATCAATACAGATTTTACAAGATTGTTTGCGGAAAGATAAGG